GATTGAAGGCAGGAAGAGAAGGGGATGACAGAGGATGAGATGATTGGATGACATCATCAACTCAATGGACATGAGTTTGAACAAACTCCGGGAGATAGTGAAGGACATAGAAGCCTGGCGTGCTGCAGTCCATGGGGTCACAAAGAATGAGACACAACTGAGCGACTGAACAACAATCTTCAGTAACTGCTCCATGAACTACCCCACCATCAGAGGTTGGTGGCTCCTTCCATAAACACTCCCATTACCTATTTCTATTTGCAATACACTTAATCTCATATGTAGGTTGTAAGTTTTTAATGAGTTCCTAGGGCCTAACAGTCTTTCAGGTAAAGGAGGTATTCAAAGCTGGACACAACATCTCTTCTGCATGGAAACAACTTTTCCCCTTTTAATGAAAGAACAATGAAACATTAACTCAGAATACACAAATTCCAAAATCTATAAAATTAAGATACCCTTTTATTTTTTTTTCATTTATTTTTATTAGTTGGAGGCTAATTACTTTACAATATTGTAGTGGGTTTTGTCATACATTGACATGAATCAGCCATGGAGTTACATGTATTCCCCATCCCGATCCCCCCTCCCACCTCCCTCTCCACCCGATTCCTCTGGGTCTTCCCAGTGCACCAGGCCCGAGCACTTGTCTCATGCATCCAACCTGGGCTGGTGATCTGTTTCACTACAGATAATATACATGTTCGATGCTGTTCTCTCGAAACATCCCACCCTCACCTTCTCCCACAGAGTCCAAAAGTCTGTTCTGTATATCTGTGTCTCTTTTTCTGTTTTGCATATAGGGTTATCATTACCATCTTTCTAATTCCATATATATGTGTTAGTATGCTCTAATATTCTTTATCTTTCTGGCTTACTTCACTCTGTATAATGGGCTCCAGTTTCATCCATCTCATTAGAACTGATTCAAATGATTCTTTTTAATGGCTGAGTAATATTCCATGGTGTATATGTACCACAGCTTCCTTATCCATTGTCTGCTGATGGGCATAAGATACCCTTTTGTGACAAATTGTCTACACTTAATCTAACATTAAAAATAAGCAGATATCCTTGTTTCATTTGGCAACTTAGCAGGCATATTCAACATAGAAACAGGCTAATTCTAGTGGCTGATATATAGCAGCACTTTCTATTTTTTAAAAACAGGTCATTTCTTTAACTTAAAAAGTTCCATTCTGAAAGTGAAAGTCGCTCGGTCATGTCCAACTCTTTGCAACTCCATGGACTACACAGTCCATGGAATTCTCTAGGCCAGAATACTGGAGTGGGTAGCCTTTCCCTTCTCCAGGGGTTTTTCCTGACCCAGGAATCAAACCAGGGTCTCCTGCATTGCAGGTGGATTCTTTACCAACTGAGCTATCAGGGAAGTACCAGTCTATGCTGCTGCTAAGTTGATGCAGTCGTGTCCGACTCCATGCAACCCCATAGATGGCAGCCCACCAGGCAAGAACACTGGAGCAGGTTGCCATTTCCTTCTCCAATGCATGAAAGTGAAAAGTGAAACTGAAGTTGCTCAGTTGTGTCCGACTCTTCGAGACCCCATGGACTGCAGCCTACCGGGCTCCTCCGTCCATGGGATTTTCCAGACAAGAGTACTGGAGTAGGGTGCCATTGCCTTCTCCTCCAGTCTATGTCTGTTCAATTTAAACATGACCCTCTATGGGATGTATATTGAGAGTGAAAGGGATCTTAACTATTAGTTACTAAGTCATGTCCAACTCTTTGCGACCCTATGGACTGCAGCCCACCAGGCCCTCTGTCCATGGAAAGGATCTTAGGTGCTTTGCTAATTCTCTGATTGTATTTTAGTCCCTAATAAACCCTATTTTACATTTACACTGCACATGCTCAGGAAACAGGTCCCCATGCCCCCTCTACATGTCAAAATCCTCAGACTTGTGAAAGGAAATTTACTTACCATCTTGTTAGAATCATTCCTTTGAAATGATCAAATGATTAGTCTATCAGTCTTCTCTCGTTAGCAACCTTCATAATGAATTATACTGTGTGAGCCTTAACACTACAGCTAAGGAATCTTCATGAGCTGAAACAAGGCCCCTCTTCAATTCAGTCTCTCAGCAACCCTAATCACTTCCACTAACTTCTCTACCAGTTGCTCAGCTGAGTTTTGTCCCCAACTGTATCTGTACTGCTGGATGAACTACTACTCAGACTTTCCAGAACACATCTTCAATACTGTTCTGTTACTGCTAAGATTAAAAAAAAACAGCTATTCTTGAAACTTCTGATGTTCAGCGTTTCTGGAGATAATATCTCTCCCTCCTGCTTATGCTCTGAATAGTAGTTCATTTACAATAGCTTATGATATTATTTTTTCCTTCTTTCCTTTAAAATAAGGAAAGAAGATTTTAGGTTGAATCTAAAACAAGATTTTAGGTCGATGGGCTATACAAATCTCTGGGGAAACTACTCAACTTTAATATTTTAGTGTGAAAGCAGCCAAAGACACTATGTAAACAACCATGCATGGCAGTGAAGTAATAATGCTTATTTATTTAAAAAAACAGGCAGCCAGCACACAGAACATAGTTTGCCAACCCCTGCTTTAAACTCTCGTAACTTCTGGGCTTTATATACCAGTATCATTGTAATTATCTTGAGTTTGCAAGGGTTTACTGATACTGCAGTGAAAATTAAGTTCAAAGTATTTTATCTATTAAACATGAGATATATACATAAGTGACTTTAAAATATTTGTGATAATAATAGTTACAAAAATAATTCTCATTACCTGGTGCTTAATCAGAAAATCTAACTGATCAAAACACATTCCCTGATAACCAAAGTTAACTCACATATTATCTAATTATGAAAAGAGAGAAGATAATTTAAAATAATATGGAAAACTAACAAACATAATCAAGTGCACAGAAGACGAAATGTATTATGCTAAGCCTACACATAAATACACATAAATATATTATGCTAAGCCTTCCTCAACGATCAGTGCAAAGAAATAGAGGAAAACAATAGAATGGGAAAGACTAGATATCTCTTCAAGAAAATCAGAGATACCAAGGGAACATTTCATGCCAAGATGAGCACAAAAAAGGACAGAAATGGTATGGACCTAACAGAAGCAGAAGATACTAAAAAGAGGTGGCAAAAACACACAGAAGAACTATACAAAAAAGATCTTCATAATCTATACAAAAAAGATAACCAAGATGGTGTGATCATTCACCTAGAGCCAGACATCCTGGAATGCAAAGTCAAGTGCATGTTGGGAAGCATCACTATGAAAAAGATAGTGGAGGTGATGGAATTCCAGTTGAGCTATTTCAAGTCTTGAAAGATAATGCAGTAAAAGTGCTACATTTAATACGCCAGAAAATCTGGAAAACTGAGCAGTGGCCACAGGACTGGAAGAGGTCAGTTTTCATTCCAATCCCAAAGAAAGGCAATGCCAAAGAATGCTCAAATTACATCATAACTGCACTCATCTCACACACTAGCAAAGTAATACTCAAAATTCTCCAAGCCAGGCTTCAACAGTATGTGAACTGTGAACTTCCAGATGTTCAAGCTGGATTTAGAAAAGGCACAGCAACCAGCGATCAAATTGCCAACATCCACTGAATCATCGTAAAAGCAAGAGAGTTCCAGAGAAACATCTACTTTTGTTTTACTGACTATGCCAAAGCCTTTGACTGTGTGGATCACAACACACTGTGGAAAATTCTTAAACAGATGTGAATACCAGACCACCTGATCTGCCTCCTGAGAAATCTGTACGCAGATCAAGAAGCAACAGTTGGAACTGGACATGGAACAACAGACTGGTTCCAAATCAGTAAAGGAGTATGTCAAGCTATATATTGTCACCCTGCTTACTTAACTTACATGAAGAGTACATCATGCAAAATGCCGAGCTAGAAGAAGCACAAGCTGGAATCAAGATTGCCAGGAGAAATATCAATAACCTCAGATATGCAAATGACACCAGACATATGGCAGAAAGAGAAGGCGAACTAAAGAGTCTCCTGATGAAAGTGAAAGAGGATGGTGAAAAAGTTGGCTTAAAACTCAAATTCAGAAAACTAAGATCATGCATCTAGTCCCATCACTTGGGAAATAGATGGGGAAACAGAGAAAGACTTTTATTTTGGGGGACTCCAAAATCACTGCAGATGGTTACTGCAGCCATGAAATTAAGACACTTTCTCCTTGGAAGGAAAGCTATGACCAACCTAGACAGCATATTAAAAAGCAGAGATATTACTTTGCCAACAAAGGTCTGTCTAGTCAAAGCTATGATTTTTCCAGTAGTCACATATGGATGCAAAAGTTGGACTGTAAAGAAAGCTGAGTGCTGAAGAATTGATGCTTTTTAACTGTGATGTTGGAAAAGACTCGAGAGTCCCTTGGACTGCAAGGACATCCACCCAATCAACCCTAAAGGAAATCAGTCCTGAATATTCACTGGAAGGACTGATGCTAAAGCTGAAACTCCAATACTTTGGCCACCTAATGCGAAGAACTGACTCATTGGAAAAGACCCTGATGCTGGGAAAGATAGAAGGCAGGAGGAGAAGGGGACAACAGAGGATGAGATGTTTGGATGGCATCACCGATGCGATGGACATGAGTTTGAGTAGGCTCCAGGAGTTGGTGATGGACAGGGAAGCCTGGTGTGCTGCAGTCCATGGGGCTGCGAAGAGTCGTACATGACTAAGCAACTGAACTGAAACCTACACCATGGATGGTACCAATGGAATTGCAGTGATTTTACTTTCCTATTTTGCTTATCTATGTTTCTATAATTAACAAAACAATTTCTATAATAAAAAATTACTCTAAAGCGTATGATGAAAAGTCAGAAATTTGATAACTAAATTTTTTAGTGTAGTCCAGAAATAAAAATATTTAGACTTTAAATTAAAACACCTTTCTATACTATACTTTTTAAAAAAATTTACATCTATTAAAATAGATATGTTAAAATTTTCATTTACCTGTCGGTTCCTTTCATCCATTATGCGTGTGATTTGTATTTTCTTCCGCCCCATTTTCAGTCACCTTTCCTTCCTTATAGTCCAAATATTTAAATAAAAAATTAATTTTCTTTAATACCCTAATGCATGGTACACAGCTTCTATTTCTTCAGCTTCTAGTTTGAGGGCTACAGCCAAAATTTTCTATAAGATCTGAAAGAAAACACAAATTAGAAAATTTACATTCTGTAGCGCATCATGCAAATGTTATACAAATTTTAAACCTGCCTTTGACTATATTATTAGTTGAAATTTTTCACTACATAAAATTAGTAAACAAGTTGAAACCTTGTTAATTTTACCACAAAAATATATCCTGAAATTTTTCATGCCCCTAATTCTGGCTAGAAGAATGTAATTATAACAATAATAATCTTTAAGTTTTTCCTTAATGCATATAATAAAAGCAAATATCCTTAATGGCTTTTGATGGCCCCCACGTCAAATGATGAACTAATAATCTACATTTGTAGCTCCAATCTGCTTTTACAAATTCTTCCTGCACACTGCCCTAGCCACTAGCAAAATTACTATTTGTCAATCCACAAAGACATCATATTCTTTCATAATAATACATACCTAAATGAAACTATTCCTTTAGTCATTTAATTAATTCTTCCTCATCAATCAAGATTCAGTTCAAATGTCATCATCCTGGATGAATAAAAGACCAATAGCCCTTGGTAGAATAAACCACATCTTATCCTGTACGTAAGTCCAAAATCATCTACCTCTCAGACTGTGAATCTTTCAAGAATAACGACTTTCCCCCCCATTTATCTCTATAGCAGAATGACTGGCAATGATATAATTTCGTGTGCTCTGAAAGACTGTTTCATCAAAACCACAATGCTATTAAAACTTAAATAATAAATATTTATAGAGGGATGGGGGACAAATCTTAAAACAGTAATAAATTTTCAGGGGAATCTTCTGAAGTATTTTTTAACACTGTACATGTAACTCCATAGAACTTGATAACTATACCGTGCAAATCCAGTGTTTGATTAAATCTGGCTTTTGCTCAAAAGCAGTGAGCTTTCAAGTTTTATTCATTATTATCTCAGCATTTCTTACATTTCTTCCCTTACTCACTCTGTTATTTCATTTATAAAAATATTAATCGATAATCTACTAATAACTAACAACCTATGCAAAACAGGTACTTTGAAATACTGAGCAAGGTACCTATGATAAAATGGTCAAGGAAAAAAGGCAAAATTTCTGACCTCACCGTTCAGAGTCTAGTTAGGGGCAAACAGACATTAGTCAAACCATCATACAAATGAGTACGTATAAAAACTCATTTATCTGACCTAAATTCACGGTCAGAGCAGGCTTCACTAAGAACTGCTTCATACTCAAACCAGAGTATGTAGGTGTTTATGCCAGAAAGAGAATAGTATGTGCAGAAACTCTGTGCCAAGAAAGAGCAAGAAACATGAGAGGAACTGAAGGATGGCTAGTCACTTGTAGGAATCAAGCAAAGAAGTAGCTGTGCTGTAGAATGTCTGTTTCTTAACAGACTATAATATAAACCATAGAAGTCGGCTTATTCCAAATCATGTTCCCTAACAAATGACAGTGCACCCAATTCCCATTATGAAAACTTGCACTGTAGCAAGCAAGACAAATATTCACACGTTTCTCCACTAATACGTTAAATTCTATAATGCATATGCACTGTATTATCTTGTATGATCTGTAAAATTCTAAACATATCTGAGCATTTTGCTTTTGACAACAGTGGAGTAGGTTGCTTCAAACCAGTATGTCCCTGAGAATCACTAGAAAAACAGAGCAAAAAGTAATCTATTTAAAACTGAAGAACTTTCAAGACAGTGAGAATTTGCACAGAAATTCTTCTGAGACCTAGATGAAACAGGTGGGACCAGACTTAAGACTCATTGATTCTTAAAACATCAGCTGAGAGTCTGAGAAGCTAAGCAGAGCTTTCAACAGTTCTTTGCATAGGGGCACAAAAATTTAATTCAGGGTCTAGTTAGGAAGAACAGCTTCAGTGAACACACTGGGAACCTGGAGAGAAGCCAGAGGACTACACCCTATCTTATAAAAGTAAACCAGAAAGAGAACAGGCCACACAAGGAAAGAAGTATAGCTTCAAATCATTTCAATCTGACCATATTAAGGTAATGTACACTACACCTAGTATCATTAGCCTAGCTGCATACCAATAAAATCTTCCCAAAAGGTTTTGGCAAAAGTAAATCTTATCAGCAAAAAGACCCCAAATTACAATTATCATTTTTCATATAAAAGTCTACAGAAAAACAGCCCAATCAAGATCTGATTGAAAACTAAGACTTAAAATGGCACTATAAATAGACCCATAGTAGATCCAGAACTAGCAGAAAACACTATTTTAATACACTATTGACCAGAGACATATTAACACATCTTTTGTTACCTGGATGATACTGACTGGAGATGTTTCAATATTCATATATAAAAAATAACCAGCCACAGAGTTAGTTTCTGCAAAAATCCCCCAGTCAATAATGTGGTAAAATAAGCTCATTTAATGTGTTAAGAGGAGGTTTTTGTTTTGTTTTTGTTTTTAAGAATTTTAAACAATGCTAAAAACATGGAAAACAGAAAAATACAATTTTAAAAACAGAAATTAAGAAACTGATGGATGACTTTAACATTAGCTTAAATACAACTGGAGCAAGAAGGATCCAGAAGACAGAAAAGAAGAACATACTTACCCTGAGGCCCAAAAAGACACAAAAATGGGAAATATAGAAAAGTATGAAAAAATATGACACATGAAGAAACGGTCCAAAATACACGTAACTAGAGCCCAGAAAGAAGGTAACCACATATGAGGGAGAAGAAATACTAAGGGCCTGACAATTTAAAACTTAAAAAAAAAACAAAAAAAAACTGAACAATGACATTAAGCCAGATTCAAGATCTAAACTCCCAAGCAAAACAAGTACAAAGAAAACGACACTTAGGGAAATCAAAGTAAAGGGGGAAGGTGGAGGGATGGACAGAAACAAAGAGACAAAGACAGCCACAAACAGATGTTAAAAGAAGCCAGAATAAATTAAAGAATATTAACTCTAAGAGTTATCATTGGGAAAAAAAAGAGTTCCAGAAAAACATCTATTTCTGCTTTATTGACTATGCCAAAGCCTTTGACTATGTGGGTCACAATAAACTGTGGAAAATTCTGAAAGAGATGGGAATACCAGACCACCTGACCTGCCTCTTGAGAAACCTGTATGCAGGTCAGGAAGCAACAGTAAGAACTGGATATGGAACAACAGACTGGTTCCAAATAGGAAAAGAAGTACGTCAAGGCTGTATATTGTCACCCTGCTTATTTAACTTATGTGCAGAGTACATCATGAAAAACGCTGGGCTGGATGAAGCACAAGCTAGAATCAAGATTGCCAGGAGAAATATCAACAACCCTAGATATGCAGATGACAACACCACCCTTATGGCAGAAAGTGAAGAACTAAAGCACCTCTTGATGAAAGTGAAAGAGAGTGAAAAGTTGGCTTAAAGCTCAACATTCAGAAAACGAAGATCATGGCATCCAGTCCCATCACTTCATGGCAAATAGATGGGGAAACAGTGGAAACAGTGTCAGACTTTATTCTTTTGGGCTTCAAAATCACTGCAGATGGTGATTGCAGCCATGAAATTAAAAGATGCTTACTCCTTGGAAGGAAAGTTATGACCAACCTAGATAGCATATTAAAAAGCAGAGACATTACTTTGCCAACAAAGGTCCGTCTAGTCAAGGCTATGGTTTTTCCAGTGGTCATGTATGGATGTGAGAGTTGAACTGTGAAGAAAGCTGAGCACCGAAGAATTGATGCTTTTGAACTGTGGTTTTGGAGAAGACTCTTGAGAGTCCCTTGGACTGCAAGGAGATCCAACCAGTCCATCCTAAAGGAGATCAGTCCTGGGTGTTCATTGGATGGATTAATGCTGAAGCTGAAACTCCAGTACTTTGGCCACCTCATGCGAAGAGTTGACTCACTGGAAAAGACCCTGATGCTGGGAGGGATTGGGGGCAGGAGGAGAAGGGGACGACAGAGGATGAGATGGCTGAATGGCATCACCGACTCAATGGACATGAGTTTGTAAAATCTGGGAGTTGGTGATGGACAGGGAGGCCTGGCATGCTGCGATTCATGGGTTTGCAAAGAGTCGGACATGACTGAGCGACTGAACTGAACTGAACTGAGTAGCTCAGATGGTAAAGCATCTGCCTGAAATGCAGGAGACCTGGGTTCAATCCTGGGGTCAGGCAGATACCCTGGTAAAGGAAATGGCAACCCACTCTAGTATTATTGCCTGGAGAATCCCATGCAAGGAAGAGCCTGGTGGGCTACAATCCATGGGGTCGCATAGAGTTGGACAAGACTGAGTAGCTAACACACACAAATATATAAAATATCCATTTATCATAGTAAATTATCATGGTTAGGATGTAAAATGCACATTATATGACTTCACATTCAGTAACTTTGCTTTCCTTCTACACAATTTAACATTTTCTCAGCATGTTTGGTGCATTCTACAAATCTAAGCAAAATCAAGGGCCAAATATGAAAGGCAATCAGAAATTTATTCAAGATTAACACACATGGCAGATAACAGCTCAAAGACTTACAAAACTGAGTTCAGTCGCTCAGTCATGTCCGACTCTTTGCGACCACATGAATCGCAGCACGCCAGGCCTCCCTGTCCATCACCAACTCCCAGAGTTTACTCAAATTCATGCCCAACGAGTCGGTGATGTCATCCAGCTATCTCATCCTCTGTCGTCCCCTTCTCCTCCTGCCCCAATCCCTCCCAGCATCAGGGTCTTTTCCAATGAGTCAACTCTTCGCATGAGGTGGCCAAAGTACTGGAGTTTCAGCTTCAGCATCAGTCCTTCCGATGAACACCCAGGACTGATCTTTAGGATGGACTGGTTGGATCTCCTTGCAGTCCAAGGGACTCTCAAGAGTCTTCTCCAACACCACAGT